TTGTTTTTGATACACTGGGTAAGAAAATGCAAATTACGGTGATCAAAATCCACTACCCACACTGTAAAAAGTAACAACTGAATCTACTTAAGGAAACAAGTACATTTAACAAATTTGTCAAATGAGTTGAATTTACTTGTTTTTGCTGTGTTTTCTGAACTTTTCTGTTGATGCAATTACGAAACAAAACAACTTAAGTACACTGCATTTTATAGCATTGAGTAAGTTCTACTGAAGACCTAACTATTGCAAATACCATGGTGCTAAATGTTATAAAAAACTTGTTTAATGTATCCCCCCCATCCCCATGTTTATGTATGTATGTATGTATGTATGTATGTACTGTACTGTACTGTACTGTACGTACGTACGTATGTATTCATACTTAAAATGCTTGTTTAATCTCTCTCTTTCTATCTCTTAAATTTTATGGCGTTTCTATAATTGTGTTCGCACAGTTTTTGTAACGGTTTCGACGCGGTGGTTTGTTTTGGCGGTCTTTATGATTGTGCGCATGCGCTCAGGTGAGAACAGCACAGGTTGCCGATGGGAGACGGAGGCAGAGACGAAGGTTTTGTGTCCCAATCCAGATTTTAAAAACCTCCGCAGGGTTCTTCCTATCCAGCTTTTAAGGCTACGGCTTGGGAGGATCCTCCGAAGACTGCAAAACCCCTTGGTAAACGGGACGGTCTAGACTCATTCTTCTTCTGTTGTTTTTGGCAGTTTGCTTTCACGGTGCATTAGCGCCACCAGCTGGATCAGTAGTTTGGATCCCAAAATGAATGAGTGACACGTTCTTGTATGAATAATATTTTCATGATATTGATTCTTTTATATTTATGTTTTGTGTATAATAAGTTTGTAAGATCACTGTAAGTTGTTTCGTTGCTTTATTTTCTAGGCTTTTAGCGTTTATTTTTAATTGTTCTATTTCTTTTTTTTGCCTTTTTTAAATTTTGAAAATGTTGTATTAAAACATGCTCTGTATTTTCGTTTTGATTACATTGGTCACATTTCCCACATTTATTTTCTATTTTATGTTGTGTGTAATTTACACCAGGATGTTGTTCTAGCTTCATTCTGTTTTCATAAGTTTTATAAAACGTCTGCTTCTTAAAACATAAAGACATCCACCAATACTTAGTTAACATTAATTTGGCTGTGTATAAAGTGATGCACTTAGGAATATAAATATCTTTATGCAACCATCTCACAGAGACGTCCAGGCTGTACACGGAAGTCTCGACCGGAGCGACTTCCCTGCAGTTACTGTAGCTAAAGCAGTAGAACGCCAAACTGGAGCGAGTGTTTCTCTTGACGCCATACCAGCGCACTCTGACATGGCATGCACATTAGAGTGACCCATACAAGGAATTTTTTGCCCTGCATTTAACCCATCCAAGTGCACACACGCAGCAGTGAACAAATGCACACTGGGAGAAGTGGGCAGCCATAGCTGCAGTGCCCAGGGAGCTGTGGGGAACTTGCTCAAGGTCACCACAGTAATGGTTGACAAGAACGGAAAGAGTTTCAATACTCACCCCACCTTCATCTCCCAGTGGTTCAAACCTGCAACCTTTTGATCTCCAGTCAATCACCTTATCCACTAGGCCACTCTTGCCACCAACCCTGGAAGCCTCTCCTAAAGCCCATGCTGAAGAAGATGAAGACTCCTGGCTCTACACTCTGGAGTGATGAGACAAAGATGGTTTTAAAAACTCTACGGCGTCATAAACGTGGAGGAGCAGTGTCTTTATGTGGTGATGCTGGTGTTGGGGAGCTGCATTTCATCATGAACTGTTGTAATCTACTCTTAAGCTACTGTTGCATTTCTGAAGAAGAACAGAGAGGAGGTGATTGAACGGGGAAAACGCCTCCTGAACTGAGCCCAATCGAACACCTGCAGTGAATTCTGAAGCGACACGTTGAGCATTGCTCTCCATCCAGCTCCAGGTTCTTCTTGAAGAATGGAAAAAGATAGATGTTGCAATCAGTCGCCAACTCACAAAATTGGTGCTGTCGTCAAAATCATGATGTTCACAAAAAATACTAGATGCAGTAGTTTTTGTTGCGGGGAGGATTCATCAGATTTAAGTAAAACTATAGATTTTGATCTAAGTGACCTGAAGTTTTCAATAAAAGATGTAAAAAGTTTTTAATTATTAAGAAATTGTTCTTTTGTTTATTGAGCTACAGCTTGAAGCTGTACTTTTTCAAGCAGGTGTTAACTGGATAAAACTAGTTTTGGGTGTGTTGACGAGAGTGTGAAGTCTGCTGACAGATACGATGGGAATGATCGACGTAAGCCTACCATTGTTCAAAAGCCAAAATGAAAAACGGTTGCACTAGAATTCCATAATTGTGGGTAGCACTGTGGCCTGGTTCGAGGAACGCCAGTGACCTTCCAGGAAGGAGCGTGCATGTTCTCCCCGTGCTTGTGTGGGTTTCCTCCAGGTACTCCGGTTTCTCCCACAATCCCCAAAACATGCGGTTAGGTTCTAAATTGCCCTTAGGTGTGAATGCGTGTGTTGCCCTGTGATGGACTGGCGATCCGTCCATGGTGTACCCCCGCCTCTCACCCCATGACTCCGAAAGGGAACAAGCAGGCAAGAAGATGAATGAATTATTCAAATACATAACTTTCAGTCAGATGATATGGACCAGGTTTTGTGGAAATCAGAGGAACATCCAGGAATTTGCAAAAGTGTGTTTTACGTAGTGGAAAATGGCCGTTCCTTGAGCCAAGGAGTCAGGGGAAAACTAATTTCATGAGATGCGGTTGAAAAGTTATTAGCTTAAATGTAAGTGTAATGTTTTCACTTTACTATGGAGTGAGTCAGTCTTTGCTCTCTCGTCTGCAGCTGGTTCAGAACGCTGCTGTTCGTCTTGTAACTGGTACCCGTAAAAGAGAGCACATCACCCCGGTCCTCGCATCCCTCCACTGGCTGCCAGTGTTTTATAGAATTCATTTTAAAATCCTTTTGTGTGTTTTTAAGTGTTTAAATGGACTTGCCTAACGATACCTCTCTGAACTTGTACACACCTATTCTCCTTCTCGAACCCTAAGGTCAGCCGACCTGTTGCTCCTGCAGGTACCGAGGTCCAGGAGGAAGCTCAGGGGGGACAGGGCTTTCTCTGTCTCTGCTCCTCAGCTGTGGAACAACCTCCCTCTGGCCATTAGAGCTGTTCTTCACTGCACACTTTTAAAACCCAGCTCAAAACTCACTTTTATTCTTTGGCTTTTAAAACTGGCCGAACTTAGCTTCTTTTATGTGTTTTACGATTATGTGTTTTAAAACAGTTTTAACTATTTTTTTTTAATCTCTAGAGATGTGCAGCACTTTGATGTCAGCTGTCGTTGTTCTTAAAGTGCTTTATAAATAAAGTTGGCATGGTATGGTAAGTCCAACTCAGGTGGTCTACAGGTGGCTTTAGAGATTCAATTACAGGATCATATTTGGTCTGGTGAAATTTAAGCCTCACCTTTAACTATGAGCAACTTTCCCATGAGCCTTTGAGCTCCTGTTGACGCAACGGGCAGAAGTGGAAGAAGACACAGAATAATAAAAGGAAGAAAGCAGAAACAGTACAAGCCTGGTCTCCAGTGAAACACGAACTATTAATATATGAGTAGAAACCGAGATGAACTACGTAAGATGTACTTCAGTGGATTTTCTTCACCTGCGAGAACTCTATTCCACGCTTCTGATTCTGATTGTTCAGGAGAAAAGGAGTTTGCTTTCAGTTCAGATGAATGAACAGAACATACTGCATTTCAAAAAAGATGAAATCATTCTTCTTTATCCAGTAATCCATTCAGGTTACAATTCCTGAATACAGTGGTACCCCGAGATACGAATGCTTCGAGTGACGAAATGTTTGAGATACAAAAGGTCTCACAGAAAATTTTTTACTTCGAGATATGAAGAAAAATTCGAGATACGAACTACAAACAGTTGTGCTCTATTTTCCACTTGTTTGTCTGACGTCAAGCTGCTCTTCCGCTTCCTGACGCTTCATTCTCTCTTTGAATAGAGTGTGCTTTAAGGAGCTGATACGCTTTAAAACACTTTAAATCGAGTGAAACATTATGTATAAATTACCAATAATGTATAATAACAAATGCTAGAATCATGGTGTCGTAAAAGAAATAATATTTATAACGTAGAAAGTGCTGCTCTGTAGCACAACTAAGAGAAACCCTGTGACGCGTTCTCAGAAGCGTCTCTCCATCCCTAATTCGAGAAAGATAACTTTCATACGTAGTGCCGTAATGTTTTCTGCATCCGTTCCTCCTACTCCGACACATCGCTTCACTCAAGGTAAGGTTTCACATTTGTGTACATATTACGTATTTTACTTGTGTTTTATTCTCTTTTATTATCATTTATTACATTAACAATGTGTAGATTTAAGAATTGAAGAAACGTTACTTGATTTTTCTCTGGTTTTCATCCACTTATATTATTGTTTCTGAGAGCCGTTAGGTGTTTTACATGAAAAACTTGCTTCAAGATACAAAATGTTCAAGATACGAACACCACTCTGGAACAGATTCATTTCATATCTCAGGGTACCACTGTACATCAAAACATGAAGCAGCTCTAAGCTTTGTACATTATTTATAATTATAATTAAAACACAAAACCAGTCCAGAGCAGAGATGATAGGAAGACCCTCATTCATGATTCTCCTTCATTCAACTGTAGTCCTTGACTCAATAAAGTGTTTTTAACCATTTTTCAATGGTATTACCAAAAATGATCAGTGTTGTTTGCATTGAGCACCGTTTTTTAATACTTTACTCTTTGAAATGAAACACTATAGAACAGAGAGATTTGATTACATTGTTGTTGTTTTCCCTGAATAGCACAGTTGAACATTTTTGCTGATGTCAGAACTCAAGTCCACTTAGAAAGGGAACGCGCACACATCTGGATGTTAAACGTTACAGAGGGCAGGTTTGTTTTAAAAGATTCATTTTATTCGTTTTCATTTAATTAAGCAGACCCTCACCATTCCGATTGCAAGCATTGTGGAACACAAAAGAAGATGCCGCAAACACCAAAATAAACACTAAATGACGAGTACAGACAGAGTTGGGTCTAAGACATCCGCCATGTTCACCAATCCTCCGGCTTTGCAGAAAGAAAGAAGTTTCCTCAAATCTCTCAAAAACAAAACAAGTCCACTTCCTTCACTGGAACCCGAGTGCAGCAGAAGCCATCGGCTGTTGTCCGTACAGCGCATATGGCGAATAAAATGATCCAGGAGCGGTCGGGGTGGGCAGCACTGTGCCCCCCGCTGGTGCTGGGTGCTTAGAGTAAGGATGAAACCTGGTTCTGGCCCAGTGATGCTGGGGTGTCCCCGGCAGATGAAGAGTCTCAAACCCCATGCGAGTCCTCAAATGTGTCCACAGCTCTTCAGAGGACGTGGAGTGTTTCTCACAGGGTCCGTTTGGGGGTGTCCAGCTGCACACATGAGACTCGGTTTGGAAGTATGAAGCTGTAGGGATATATTGGAAAGGAGAGGGCTGTGGTGTTGGGTAATGGGTGCAGGGATGAGCTGGCATACATGAGTGGGTACAGGGGCTTGGCTGGCTCATGGCTGGTGCAGTGATGGGTGGAGCAGGAGTCTCTGCAAATAAGAGAAGCATCAGAAGATAAAACCGCCTTGGGTTCACCTGTACTGGTAAACGGGAAACTTGAGAGATGGGTATTAATCGGGTGGCCTGGTTTGAGTGCTAAGAATGGTTGTGGGAAGCTGGTGTACGCTTTGTCACAATGCAGGGGGGATATGGGGACGGATCTGTATGGTGAGACTGCCGCTACCATCCCAAATGCCAGAGTGGAGGTTTTGGTTGTGTTGGGTGGTGCAGGGGAGCAGATGTCATCCTTGCTGTCTTTACCCAGTAGCTTCTGAGCTGGTTCGGTTCGCCCCAATGGAGGAGATTCCGAATGGCAGGAGCCTGGGCTGCCAGCTGATTTTGCACTGGCTTTGTGTGTCTTCTCTAATGATTTAGCAAAGGGTTTGATCCTGGTTTTGTCCTGGACACTGTGTGAGCTGGAGTCTCTTTCTGACAATGGAGCGTCAGGCCTTCCAATCTGAGAGCAGGTTTGTGCCAGGAGGGCCAGGGGGCTTTTCTTGGCATCTAACTGTGAAAATAAGAGAGTTGTAGGTAGAGAATTCTTCACACAGATTATCTTTCACAGCTGCATGGAGCTCAGGAAAACATGTATGTTTGGCTGCCAGGCTCTACAGGTTTGGTGTCATGCTGTGCACCATACAAACTTAATCTCAGACTGTGTCAAAAGCTGTTCAACTTGTTTTATGGAGTGAGGTATCTGTGAGGTTTGATTGTGTGTGTGTGTGTGGGGGGGGGGTACTGTCTGAGAGATGTGACCACAGGTAAATCACCCTGAAGTGCCAGAACATTACACTGAATATGATGTTACCTGAAAGTGAGAAGTAAGTGTCAGAAATACAGAAGAAACCATTCTCCTAACAGGCACCCAAGCATTCATGAGGTCAAGCCTTTGTAAACGTCCTAGAGAGTAATTAATGGAGAAAATGTCTTGACTCCTCAAGTGAACATAGCAAGGCTGAACTTGGAGATGGGAA